AGCCAGCCCAAGCTACGACAGCAGTCGCAGAGGCCGAAACGCAGCGAATGGCATCGAGATGCCAGCGGACGCGCCAGATAGGTCATGTTGAGGGTCGTGGTCGTGGTTAACGCCAAGGTCCAAGCTTGATGAACGTTCAGCTCCAATTTCATCGCCGTGCGACAGTGCTCGGCGATCTCGGGAATCGCGAGCAGACGATCACCTGAGATACGCGACCTCAACGATGAACGCACGATAAGCTACGTTCTCCTCCGAGGCAGCCCGCTGGCCTTGGGAGTCTGCACCTATGGCAAGAGCACATCAGTAGTGAGTGCGGAGGTGGACAAGCTCGAGATTGAAACGGTGTATCATTCTAGCTACGCTCTGTGGATACAGGCTAGTATGGTGATCGAAATACAGTGTAGGGGTGTGAGATGCTGGGCTATACAACGCTAGGGTATGCTAGGCGGAGGTATACAGTAGAGTGTGATGCCAAGGTATACAGCTCTGAGGTATACAAAGCAGATACATATAGTAGAGCGAGATTCTTGGGCATGTGAGAAGCGACAACATGCGGATGTCTGGTCGTCTGTGTGATAGGTCGTATCGGGTCTGGTGTGAGGTTGAGACTGTGATGTTCATGCCAGAGAAGCATATGATATAAGGTACAGACATCTCGAGCAGCATCCCAAGTGAGGCGAATCGAGATAGGAAGAATGGCGAGCACGGATGATGAGGCGCGAGGACGAGTCGGTATCGGGTTTATGGATGAGGAATCAGGAGGGAACAACAGCGCAGCGTGGCACCAGCACTCTACCGAGAGCGTCAATACGCGTAATGAGAGGGGACCGGCTATATCCATATGTTAACTCGGGTGAGTCGGGGACTGTGAAACAGAGCCGCTTGGGTGCTTGCACTTGGCTTGACGGCGTCGAAAGTGTACTCTGTATGAATGTCAGTCAATGAGGCGTCGAAGCGGACAATGTCACACACCAGGCTCTTCTGCCTCGCGCAGTAGTCTTCACCTTTTTGCCCATGATAGCGCAATCAAGTGTTCGAGTGTCTGTGTGGTCGATACAACCGAACTCGAGGTCAGTCATGGAGGTTCAGAAGCGAACCGACATGCCACAGGTCCCGAGCGTAACATGATCTCTCTATGAGGCATATGCTCCTAGGCAGGATCAGCTTCTTATAGTCCAGTCCAGGCACTCACTGGCGCTCAAGGGTCTGTAGTTGGGCGATGTCAGCGAGAGACGCATATCCCGCCACGACGCGAACGATATTGACGAAATAACATTAGTCGAGAGCAAGGGGTGAATAAGTACAATGATGTGATAACGCTCTTGATTCAAGAAGGGAGCCGAGCCGTCAGCAATTGCGCGCAAGGGCGTGTCTGCAAGTACTTCATAAAGTACACGCCCCACCGTCCGCCAAGCCGCTCTGGGACATATCGTCACCGGCGCCCTACGACAAAGGGCGCGGTAATGGGAGCCGGCGCACATGGCTCCGCCGCTGCAAGAGCGGAGGCGCGTGAGAAGACGAGGCCGGGGATGGGGCTGGAGGCGGCGGTGGGGGCGGAGGTGGTGCTGGGACCCCGGCCGGAGGAGGCGGGAGAGGGCGAAAGATTATGGCATCTGTCGTGGACCGTACTGGGCGGAAAGGTGGCGAGCGGAGTGCGTTCGACGCGGCTGGCGCGGTTGGCGGGCCAGGGGCTCGGCGGGAGGGACGCAGTGACCGAGGTTCGCTGCTCTCGTACGCTGGAAGGGGCGTATCGTCGTACGCAGGGAGAGGTGTATTCGGACGCGAGCATATGAGCTCAGTGACGACGTTGGGTAGCTCGTGCGAGGGTGGATGAGCGGGATCGGCGGCAGGGATGGAGTTGGTGGTCAAGGGCAGATTGGCGGCGAGAGGTAGAATGGTAGCGGTAATACGCGCGCTTCGAACCGGCGAAGACGCGCCCTCGAGCACAACCTCCGTCAAGTCGGGGTCGTAGCGTTCGCCCCGGGGTAGATACCCGGCTCGCGGGCGGTGGGATAGTCGTATCATCTCTTTGGCTGCCATAGTGTCAGCGTGATGCTAGACGATGAAGACATCGAAACTCACGCATAAAGACAGTGTTTGAAGAGGCAGGTAGCGAGTGATGTAGCGCACAGCGTACAGAGCACTGGCCTGCAAGCGCGGATAAATAGAGTTGCTGAGGCTACCGACATCGCGGCGGATCGACAGCAACTACAATGAATCTTTTGCCGAGAGGTCAGTAGAGAAACGAGGCTGTCACAGGCAGTAACAAGAGGGGCCAAACAGCTGGGGCGTCCACGATACAAGGTAAGACAAGAATTCCAAAACTTGCGGTGCTCAAGTTTACGGACGCGCCGCGGTCTCATCGCTACACGCGAAATCGTTGTACTTGATACGTGAGCAATCCGTCTTCGATCCGCATGAGAAGCATGATCGCGCTGATACCTGTGTTTAATCACCGTCGCGGTGAATTGCCTGAGGGAGATATTAGGTATACGCCCTACAATGCTAAGCGCAGGGTAGGCGAAAAAGTTTGAGCCGACACGCAGTACGTCTGCGTACTTCCAAGCGTCAGCATACTTCTCAGCGTCCGCATACTCATAAGCATACGCCTTGTCGAGATACATGTCCGAGGCGCGCAGGAAAATTCAGATACGATCTGTCCTAGCGGACGTCGAGGAAGAGATGGGCACAAGTCGAAAACGCAACAGAAGCCAGTTGATCGGCAACTGCCGAGTTCGGACAGGCTCGGGCCTGGCCCGTCAACATGGCGCCCATCCCTGCTGCGGCGCGCCTACAATCCTCGTATTCTCGACCTGGCGGCTTTTCGCTCAGACTTGGTCCTGCCGACTCACTCGATATGCTGCCGCCATGCTCTCTCAAGGCAATGGGACCGGAGCAGAGGCCCAAGGACGAGGGAGGATGCGGCGGCGGGGAGGTGGATGTGGCGGCGCGCTTCTTTTCTGATCACCGGAGCTGCCTTCACTCCGGCTGGGTACGAGGGCGCTGACGCGCCGCTCACACTGATCGTCGGGAGGCACGCTTCGGAAACCCTCCTCCGCGTGTTCATGACGTCCGAGGAGTACAATGAATTTCGGCTGCCGCGTGCACTCCTCCGTCTTCGGCCTCGCACGACCACCCCTCGCGCGCGTTATTGTCAGCGCACTCTGTGCGACAGATAGGTCGGGTCTGATAGTACCCGCCGTACACTCACGGCGCCGTATAGGTACGATACGAGCTTGAGCGCGTTTAGCGAAGGCACGTGATCGCGTTGGCTGACTGGGGCCACAGCTCCTCGCATTGGCGTTTGAGACACTGATCCGGTTGGCGGTCAGCGCGCGATTGAAGGGCACGATGGCATGTGGCGACTAGCTGTCCTAAGTGAACGCAGATACTATGCTCTCGTTTTTTTATACCTACCTCGAGGGATATCGCTACTGTGAGGTGATGACGCTTCACCCGAACCGCGCCTCTTGAGGTTCGCGCTCAGTTTCCTTACACGTCCCATAGCGACGGCGAATCATTACTCTCTCCGTAAGAGACACAAGGACAGGTAAGAGCCGTCAACGTCTCAAACGGCCGGGAACGGCAAACGGATCGTGCTCGCGGGTGTCGACTGAGGATTCACGCAGGCCGCGCCTTGGGCTTAGGCCCCCATCTCTACGCCACCAGAGATACTTCCCAGTCCCCTCACTAAGCTGGTGTTCGTTAGTCCATATGCAAGCCCACGAACATCGCGCCGGGATGAAACACGTCAACCGCTAGTCGCGAGACCGCGAGCCGTGCCGTGACGGGCCAGAACCACCAACCACCAACTTGCGCGGAGCAGGTCTCACCGCTCACGGGTCTGTAGCACTCATATCACCTTTCGCTGGCTGAGACCCAGTTTGCCGCAGGGGAAACACGACGCGAAGCCCGGCACGACCAAGACACGATGCTCGATGTGCGGCAACGACTTTAAGTCGCTGACGCGCAACCTGTTCGGCGTTCGACAGCGCGGCAGTCAGTTCTTCGTCAATTATCATTAGCACCTTGTGGCCGGGGTGTTTAGAGTACCATGCGAGTGATCCGGGGCTCATAGAGGTGCTCGCGGAGGGGTTAGGTGCACAACCCACAGCTGCGCAAACGACAGAGCGGTGTATTGCGAGCGGCCATCTGCAAGGGCAGCCGGTGTCACGATCGATGGCCTGAGGGAGTGAACAAATATTATGAGTGCAGCAGTGTGAACCTGATGAGGGGACGGAAGATACGAGGCGGCGAGACAGCGAGACGAGACAGACGACTGAGAGAAAGAGAGGATATCTAGTATATGTGAAGTGCCCCTGGTGCGGGCACTGACAGAGTTACATACACAGACTCGGGACATCTTTATACAAGTTTTTCACTATGTCGGGGATTTCGTCGGGATCGTCGTACAGCTCCAGGGTATACGGCAGACCTTGACGCGCCAAGTGCTCCCCCCGAGCC